ATTTGAGAGGACTCCACAGTAGTCTGAAGACACTGCTTAACATAATATTTGTACACTACCTATTCATTTTGCAAAGATTTTTGTAGTGTTAACAAAAATATGCAAACATGGAATACTGGCATATTTGTAAATTTGTGAACATCATAGAGGTGCAACCTGAGGTAGCTCTCTTACACACCTGGTCAGCACATGCATAGTGCCTCCGAATTGATTGTATTGATGCTGGCATGGAAACTCGGAGATTACCCGTCTGGTTGATACCTGGTTGATGGGGTTCTGGGAGTTCTACTCCCCAAGCCCAGCCTGAGGCCAGGCATGACTTGTGAGAGTTTGGTCCACCAGGCTGTTGCTTGGAGCGGCCCGAAGGCACACACACATCCACCACAGCCCAGTTGGTCTGGCACTCCTTGGAGGAAACAATCTAGTTTCCTCTTTATGTCCACTGTTGTTCCGGCAATTTTCCTTATGCTGGCTGGGAGGATATTGAACAACCATGGACCTCTGATGTTTATACAGTGTTCTCTGATTGTGCCTATGGCACCCTTGCTCTTCACTGGTTCTATTCTGCATTTTCTTCCATATCGTTCACTCCAGTACGTTGTTATTTTACTGTGCAGATTTGGTATTTGGCCCTCCAGTATCTTCCATGTGTATATTATTTGATATCTCTCTCGTCTTCTTTCTAGTGAGTACATTTGGAGAGCTTTGAGACTATCCCAATAATTTAGGTGCTTTATCGCGTCTATGCGTGTCGTATATGTTCTCTGTATTACCTCTATTTCAGCAATCTCTCCTGCTCTGAAGGGGGAAGCGAGTACTGAGCAGTACTCAAGATGGGACAACGTAAGTGACTTGAAGAGTACAACCATTGTGATGGGATCTCTGGATTTGAAAGTTCTCATAATACATCCGATCATTTTTCTGGCTGATGCTGCTTGGCTATGCTCCCTAAACGTTAGGCCGTCAGACATCATTATTACCAAATCCTTTCCATGCTGTTTTCCTACTATGGGCACATTTTATTATGTTTTGTACCCTGTATTATGTTTAACCCTTAAATGGCGCATGGCTATACAGGTATACCATTTGACACCCACAGGCACATACAAAAAAAAAAAAAAAAACTTTCTTCCTAACCTGTTAATTTGTGTTCACTGATCATGGGAAAAATAATAAAAAAATCGCAAGTGGCATATATTGCCTGCTATAGGGCGGGGAAGTCTGGCAAAAAACAGGCGCTGACTCAGCGTGCGTCCCAGGCGGTCTGTTGCTTGCCAGCTGTCAGGCCGGAGTTGCCACAAAGAGATAATTACCTAATTATTTCAATGTCTCTGATTTTTCATAGTTTTTTTTGCTGTAATATTATTCAATAGTGTGTAGTGTGATATATTTATAAAATAAAATGAGTGAATCGTTGCTGTACTCAAAAAATATGGTGTGCATATTGTTGACTCAATTATGTTCATCAAACAGTGAACAAATACTTTGTCGGGTATTACACTATATACACAGGTTATATATAAGTATCTGCATGTTTTGTTCACCATAACGAACCACTAAGTTGCTATTATGAGTCAAAAAGTAACGAGGAGTGACCGCCGTATACCAGCCAGCCACTCACGCCCTTCCTCAACACCTTACTCGCCCACAATCTCCTCCCACCATACTGTTTTTGCTTTTATTCACTATATACAGACATTATATATAAGTATCTACATTCGTGTTCACCATAACGAACCACTAAGTTGGTATGCTGAGTGGCAGTGGCAGCCCGCCACTGGCTGCCACTCCCTCCCTCCCTTACCTCACCTGACTTGCCACCATTCTCCACCCACCATACTGTTTTTGCTTTTATATTCAGACGTTATATATAAGTATTTACATGTTTTGTTCACCATAACTGTACATCTAAGCTTGTATGGCGAGTAAAGGCACAAAGACGTAGGACCTCACACAGTCAGCTGGCTGCCGCCCTCAAGGCCAGACGCACTAATATTTCTCCTCCAACAATACTGTTTGTGGTGTTATTACGCTATATACACACATTATATATAAATATCAACCTGTTTTATTCACCATACTTGTACAAGTAAACTGGTATGGTGCCCAAAGACCATCGTGGTCACCAGTAAACAACATGATAAATCGTGCAGACGACGCCACCGCCCTCACCAAAATGGCGGCTCCCAACCTACTCCTCTTGCTGTTTATACCCTCCATACACACGTTATACATAAGTATCTACATTTGTGTTCACCATAGCGAACCACTAAGCTGGTATGGTGAGTGCAGTCAATAAAAGGTGGCCACACACAGTCAGAAGACAATGCCACTACCCTACCCTCCCACAGCATTACTCCTCCCAACATGGAGCACAGCACTAAATATCACCACAATCCTGCTATTATCAGAACCCTAGTCAGTTTTATCAGTCAGGGGTCTTCTGTAATAATATCATCGCTACATAATAGCATGAACAAGTATATTATGGCATTTTTAGGCGATGCTGTGGTCACAAGCTGAACAGCAGTGCTGTGAGCTCATGCTGCGTGCGTCAGGCTTGGTAGCTCACTCAATACTGAGGCCCCTAACACCCAGGAATTTGGCCCACGATTTTTTTTTAAAGTGGCCTCTGTTTACAAGAGCCCAGATGAAGGTGTGGTGAACCCTGTGTATCCTTGGGCCGTTTAAATCTTGCGTAGTACTCCAAAGCATCACATGATGCAATGCGCAATTTAAGGGTTAAGGTCTTCATATTTTCTGTATCTGAGTGCCTGGAATTTATCACTGTTAAACATCATGCTATTTTCTATTGCCCAGGCAAAAACTTTTTTAATATCTGCTTGAAGTTTTTCAATGTCTTCAGCTGAGGTAATTTTCATGCTGATTTTTGTGTCATCTGCAAAGGATGATACGAAGCTATGACTTGTATTTTACCGATTTTGTGCGCTCGTGGGTAGCTTTCGCCAACTTTAGGCTTTGCTGTGGGGAGTCACGCTGGGCTTTTGGACATTATATGCATATACACCTGTAGGCAATTCTATTGCAAACACAATGATACCAAAACGAACGACGTAGCACGAGAATTAAGGTGAGAAAGCTGAAATGAGTATACACATTTAGGAGTCGCCTCATGCTCGCCTGCAACGCCCGGCCCATGACGTCAAAGTCTGCAGCGCTCACGCGCCGGGTGCGATAGTGTTAACACTAAACACTAAAATTATTTAAACTTCTCATCTGTAGTTTTATCAACATAATTACAGTAGAGAACATTCTTTAGAAATGTTACTGCCAATACAGTACAAGCAATTCCGTCTGGCACTGTCTACAACTAGTAAACCCAAGAGTAAACCTGTGATGCCAATTGTGAAAAAAAAAAGGGCAACACATCCCTTAGGTTTAGTGATGTTTAGACAGATCTTGAATGAATATAACATTGGAGGTCAATTTACTCATCCCTTCACCTTTGGCATACTAACAACTAAACCTGCTACCTTCCTATCTTGAGGTTATCTTGAGGTTATCATGAGATGATTTCGGGGCTTTTAGTTTCCCTGCGACCCGGTCCTCGACCAGGCCTCCATCCCCAGGAAGCAGCCCATGACAGCTGACTAACACCCAGGTACCTATTTTACTGCTAGGTAACACGGGCATAGGGTGAAAGAAATTCTGCCCATTGTTTCTCGCCGGAGCCCGGGATCGAACCCGGGACCACAGGATCACAAGTCCAGCGTGCTGTCTGCTTGGCCGACCGGCTCCCTATTTCTCTCCTGATACAGTACCTTGTTTACAGGTATTGTATCAGAGCTGCATTTGAGCCGTAATAACACCATGTAGTCTAAGTAATTTGTTGCCAATTCTACATAGATGTACATGCACGCACACATTTGTCCTAAGTGTCCACCACAACTCCCATGCCTTACCTACTTTGGTTACTTACTCCTATCCGAAATTGAAGTCCATCTTGGCAAAACCTCATCTCAAATTACCCCAAGAGTACAGTACTACATTCCTAAATATTACTACTACTGGCTGTCTTCACATATTAATGCAGGATAGGTTCAGAATTATTCAGCCATTTCACAAGATTGTGCACAATTATGCAAGCCATCAGTATGAACAGCGGATGTCAACATTCACTTGTACTCCCAGCACAACCAAGGAGATTATAGCTCTGGAACAGCTACCCAATAAAACCAAAAGAAAATCAAGACTGTAGCCAATTACAACATGACTTACGGATGCGTTGAATGTACGATGAACTTTGCAATTCTCTATAACAGTTTCATGGTCTCCCAATGCAATTTGTAAATAGTCGAAGTATCCAATGAAGAGCAAGTGTATTCTATTAAATTTATGCCAAAGACTGACAAGTATCTGAGACATTGCTCACCAGATCCAGGTCACCAAGTTCACTACTCATAAAATAGAACTGGAAGAAATGTAAAACAGAGCAAATGCCAAGACCTTACCCGTCTGATTTATTTGATTTAGGGCCTCAATAATTATACAAGAAATCAAAATTCCAACACTTGTCCCAAAATGTAATTACTGTATGTAACTGGCATTATTGTACAATAGAACTAATGATAACACAATGAAACAACTCTTGTTCCTGGGTAGTAAATTACTTTGATTGCTTATGCCTCTATTACTGTCTATAAAGTAGTTACCAATCCCCCCCTCAAGTTTTACTTTAACTTTTGCCTCGGACAGATTAGGCAAAATGTGTTTAAGGCACTGCTTTGAAGGCCGCCGACACCACATCAGCTATGGCACTATTTCTAAGCCAGAAGCCTTCATGTACCTTCAAGATGTCTTCCCTAAGCTGGCTAGGGCAAAGGTCAAAGCAAAGCTTGAGAGGGGGGGTGGGGGGGGAATAACAGCCATTTTCTAGACTTTAGAGGAATAAGCAAAGTAACGCTACCCAGGAAAAACAATTGTTGTAGTGTAATCTAAGCTTCCCTAAAAATACTAAATTAAACTATTTGTGAACTTACCATTTAACTCCAAATTTGGTTCTTTTGTTTCTTTCCTCCTGTCTCCTTCACTATTGTTTTCCTCTGGCTCCTCTTCAAATATATAATTCGAGTCTTTAGGTTCACTTTCAACTACCGAGTCTTCAGCTTCTACATTTTCTTCGTCCACACTGGCTTCATCTGTGATTAAGAGTTAAAACATTACTAATTTGACAAATGCTGCCGTAAGACAATTTTGCATATATGTGTACTGTACAAATGATGCATATGATATAATTGATAGAGTAGAATGTTCTTGATATTTACAACTTTAAAGTTTCCAAGACAATTATAATTGGGAATGTGTTTTGGGCACGTACAGTATATCATTATGCTGAAGTATTTATCAAACAAAACTTTAAATATTTTAAAAGCAGGCAGAAGAACCTAGTCTATTTGGCAATTATTTAGTCTTGTAACTAAATTAGAATTATCCTCAAGCCTTCAAATGTTTGTGTGACAATCGGGTATGTTCTCGCCATTTATAATCACTCCTGACAGGAGACAATGAGCGATGATTTAAAATACCACGCAAGATTTAAAATTCCTGCAGGTACTCATCTGCTTCCTCAAGCACCCAGTAAACAGACATACAGCTCATGTCCCCAGCATCACTTAATGATGATGAAACAAATAACTACAATTATTTAGAGATGATAATGTCATAGAAGATTGTGACACTTGAAAACTAGTACAATGTTCAGATACCAGTGAACCAAATAAGGGTTACGACGTGAACACGAGGCAGTCCACCGCAGCACATAGCCGTTGTTTGGTGCATCAACGAATCGTGAAACAAGACCTCATGTTCCTTCATAAAGTAAACGCGTGGAAAATTATTCATATTCAGGATTAATTAAGTGACCAGGATTCTGATATTATTAGCAGTGCTAGAGTTAGAGGCTAGAGTTAGCAATGTATGTAGTATATCAGGAAGCACTCATGTCAGGTGCCATCAGCATCAGACTGGTGTGTGGTGCTATGCTGTGCTACGATTACAAAATACTACACCCACCAAAACTGCTTAGTGGATGATAATGGTGCATGATAATGCAGATATAGTGTATATATACACAGTATACAGTAATAATAAAAACAGAACGTATTATTTTCCAAAGAACGTAACATTGTGCACAAATTATGGACACAAATATATTCATGTGTATCTCTGTTCTACACGTTAATAAATAACCGACATCTCAATGCATCATTGCACTTTAAAAAGCTGTGGTATAAGCATTAAAAATTGAAAGAAAGTACAACATTTAGCGCATGCAGTTACAGCTTTGTGCAAAGCAAGCAAGACTAGGGTGAACTCTAATTACTGCTTACAAGGTTATTACACCCACCAGAACTGCTTAGTGGTTATTAATGGCGAAGAGAAAAAAGTACCAGTAGATTATATGCAACGTGTGTACATAGTGTAATTACAGCAAAAACCAGTGTTTTTTTAAAGAATATATTATGGAGTGCACATTAGTGTCAAGAATATATGAGCATACCACATTTTATACCATTGAATAATATCAGTAGAAAAAACCTGACATTGAAATAAATGTGTAAAGTAATTTTCAGGGCAACTCCCATCCCAGACTCAGAGCAACCTCCATGGGGTAATTGCTTCATAAACTGCTTCACGAACACATGGGAATCGTGTTATGAGTTTTCCTCACTTCAACATGGCCAAAGTTCACCAAAGATTAAAGAACTTGCATGTGCTTGAACACAAATACAACCAAGCTTTGGTATTTTTATGGTTTCGTTCCGATGACTGTCCAGATGCCGGCATCTTTACCCCAATGGCCAGGAGAGTAACATTGTTCAATAATGAACCAGATCATCATTTAGCAAGCAGAAGCCGAACTAATGTTACACACACAAATCACACTAACATGATGCATCAAATGAACAAATCAAATACTGAACTAATGTATTCTAGCATTAATCATCTACTTGCCTAATGTTCGGGTTTCATCTACTGCCTCTAGCTTTTCCTCTTGCTCCTGCTCCTCTTGCTTCTCAGTGCTCCTCTGCTCTGCCTTATCAACATTCTCCTCTTCCTCCTTTTCTTCTCTCTCCTCTTCTCCTTTCTCCTTATCATCATTTTCTGTGTTATCTGTTGCATTGCTCTTCTTCTTTATTTTCTCTGCCTCTTTAGCTTCTTTGTCAGCTCTGGCCTTTGCCTCGGCAGCTTCCCGATCCTTTTTGGCCTTTGTGATTTTGGCTTTATTGATAAGGTATTTAATCTGCACAAAAAGATAAGACATTAGACCAGAAGTCTTCTACAGTACTGTGCTCCTCTCCAACAATAATAAAAACACAATCAGATTTAATGTTATATTTTTTATATACAAAATGTCATGGGAAAGAAAAATCTACCATGCTGACTACCACAAAAAACCTTCCCACGATACTTCGCCAGTCTTTATGGTGGGTAGCAGCAGCAAAGGCTTCTAAAAATTTATATGCAACTATTGATTTTAATCATTTAACTAGTTTATTATAAAATCATGACCAACTTGTTAAGACTAGACTGGCTTAACTTGCTATTTTATGAACTATTTCAAGCTTTACCTCACGGTCAAGGGAGGACCATTTTTCTGCTATACCACCGAGTGTTAATTTGGGATCTTCGTGGAGCGAAGTCTTCTCCTGCAGCTCTTCTTTCTCCTCCAGCCATCTCTAAGAGCATTGAAACAAATTTATTAAAGATTTAACAAGAGACTGGTGCCACTGCTCATACAATTACTGTACTGTACTTCGATCCTTATATTTTATGTCTTATCAAGGCAAGATTAGACAAAAGGTGAAAATTTGTTAGAATTTGCTCTATTGTCAATTTTTACAAAAATTAGATCACTCCATTAATAAATTGTCGACATACTGAAGTTATTACTCATCACTTCCAAAATAATACAGCTTCTGATGAAAAGCAAAAATTAAAGACTAAAGAGTAAAAAAAAAAAGAGAAACTTGCACGATTTACATCTCTCACCCACCCAGTGGGTACAATATCCGAGAGCATTGTTAATTCAATGTTGAATGAATGCTACTCTTGGATAGAACACACTAGTACTGTTAGAGTATATTACTTGCACATCGTCCAAGAGTTGCAATGGCATACGTCCTCAGCTCTCAACCTAGTTCATACCCCCAACAGGACAAATGGTTGTTTATCTTATCTGATGCCACTGTTCACATAGGAAAATGTTTGTGGGTTGCATCCAGGGAAATATCAGTAGTCGACGTGGAGGGACCTCGATAAGTAAGTACAGGTTTCCTGTTCCCAACAATGGGAATTAAAACCCAAACCAAATGGTGATATACCTGAGTATCAACAATAAGGTTGTCCATGGTGGTCAACTCTACGTCGGTGAAAAGCTGTTGATCAGGAGGAGCTTCTCGTGCCCTCATCAGGAACATGGAGGACCCATTCATCATTTCTTTCAGAGCCTGAAATATGTAGACTATTACTTGAGAACACCCACTTAACCTAATCAACCTTTCATGGAAAATATAGAAATTTGTGATCAGCTACTTTTCATAGTACAGTACCCCTTATTTTGTATATTGGTGACCATAGCAAACAAAATCGAGTTTATTAGTTGAGAAGATGGGTTGGATACAGAACCCTCAAATTTGTATGCAAATCTATTTTATACTTTTCTCTTATCACATATATTCAGCTACAGTAAATACCTGTCGATGCCAAGGATCTACGTTCCCACGACCTGGTCTCTGATCAGGCCTTCTGGCTGGTGGTCTCGTTGATCATTATCATTTGAAGGTATTTATCAAGTTCTCTTTTGAAAACAGCCAGTTATGCTCCCTATGTGTTGAGTGTGTTGAAAAGTCAGGGCTTTTGATACTGACCAAGTTCTCTCTCGGCATGCCTACTGCATCTATGCTTTTAATGGTACAGTACTATTGTACACATTCTGCCATGCCTTCTGCTCTCGTATGGTGTTATTCCCATCAGCAGATTTGGAACCAGTCCTAGTATTTTCCAGGTGTAAATTATTATGCATCTCTTGCTTGCACTCCTGGTAATACAGACTTAACGTTTTTAAGCAGTCCCAATAATTTAGATGTTTTATCGAGTAGATTCTATCAATAAAAAATCCAAATTATGTGGAACTATATATTATTATTATTAATTGTTATTATACACACACACACACGTCATGAGAGATTATTGTACAAGCAGATAAAAATAGATCATGACTGTTGGTACTGGGGAACTTCAACTTTAAAGCAATAGACTGGGAGGCCTATGTAGCAAGAACGGAGGACTTTTGGACATGCAGATATAAGAATCTCATTCTGGAGACATTCTTGTATCAACACATAAAGCAGGCCACAAGAATGAGGTAAGGAGATGTACCGTCAGTACTGGATCTAGTATTCACCAGGAAAGAAGAAGAGATATTTGACATCCAGTACCTTCCTCCCTTGGGAAAGAGTGATCACGTCCTGTTAGACATTAAATATGCTTGAAGATATCGTCTAGAAGAAAATGGGGACATTGAAACGGTTGAAACTCATAGGGTAGCTTATCCTGTAACTACACTTGGGTAATTACCTCTTCTTCCCGTTATACTTCCTGGCAAACACACACAAAGGTCTACACTCAGATACAGGATCATGTTGGACATGGTACTAACAGCTATCCTAACTCCAATGCTTAACCTTCTCTACCAGAAAGGTTGAAGGACAATGCATTTCCTAACAAAAATTGAAAGCATGATAGGACCAATCCTCCAATGAGCAGTCCTCTTGTCTTTGGTTGTGACGGCTTCATATCCAAGTTTACCACAAAAAGAAGATGCAAGAAGAGTAGCAGCTTTCTTGAACACAAGGATGACATTGCCAGCAAACTTAGGAAAGCAAGAGTAAGCAGAGCTAAGCAAATCATTGGTACAACTAGGTCTACTACACTTTATGGAAGGTGCCATGCTAACTTTCTAGTGTCAAAAACAAAAAAAAAACAGATAGCCTGCCAATAAATATTAAAGACACGGTGATTGGGGCTAGCATATCAATTTGCATCGTGGAAATCTTCATGCACACGATCTTCAAGGATTTCTGAATGATACATCTGCCAACATCACTGATTTCAGGTACATAAATGCTATTATTGGCATTATGGAAGAAGATACAAGTGCAGTCACAGCTTTCCATGAATAAGCAAACAGTATACTACAACCAAACCTGGAACTCAAGATGGAAGCCCATAAGGAAGAATTACCATTCCTAGATACACTATTATACATTTAAGCAAAAGGACAACTGCCGATGGTACAGTACATTACAAGGGTTCAAATTGGCCCTTATACCTTCAACACACATCTTGCCATCCAGTGATGTTTAAAAATTCTCCCTGGCCATTCGAATTAAGAGAACCAGAAGCAGTGAGAGTAAACTAAAGAAAGCCCTAGTTGGAACTTTTCATTTTTTCAGAGCCAAACACTATCCAGATTCAACCCTCCGAGAAGCAACAATAAAATTAGCCCCTTTAAAGCAAGATCTGCTAGGGCAAACAAGATCATAGGTTGCTATGGAAAGGATCCTTCCAGTATTATACATCCCAGCATTTTCATGGTAGAGTATATCAGAAGAGAGATCAATGCCATGGACAGGGACAAAAGAACAATTTAGTGACCATCCAGCAAGGGGCTTGCTTCCTTCAGAGCCACCCATTACAGCAGCAGTCACCAACTGTGGCTGGTGAGAATTGTGTGTGTGTATTGCATGTAACTATTTTCTTGAACACTTATATTTAATGGCATCAAATAGTTTGCTTTAATACCTATCATTTCTTGTTTGGTGGACTGCAGGATTCATATTAGTGGTCCACGGGATTTAAAATCGTGAATTTAGTGATTCCTTACCAAAGGATGAAATTTTATAAGATTTCATCATTCGTGGAAAAATAAGTTATAAAATAAGTTATAAAAGACTGCCTTAGAGCATGGAAGTGAGAAAAAAACCAGAATTTCATCCAGGTTCGTGTACAGTTCCCAGTGAAACTAAGGGACCCTTAAACATCCTAATTTCCCTCTTATAAAGAGTTCTTTCTAATAACCTGTGGTCTTTGAGAGTGACATTTCTTAGATCAATCCTAAAGTTTGGAACTATTCTTAAATGCAAGGCAATTCCCATAGAAATAAGAATGTATAGGGAATAACATGATTCCGAGTAAAAGTCATAGCACTAGTCTTAGCTGTTGAGCACTAAACCATTAAAGGTAGCCAAAGACAATACGCTATCAATCTCAAGTTGGACTGCACCGTATTCGGGAAAAATTGTTGCCCCGATAGCCAACATATTGTTAAAGCACAGAGTGTAAAAAGAGGAGAGATTGGAGATTGTCGAGAGCAACCAGAAAAATAGTACTGTAAATGCTTAGAAACTACCCTGGGGAACAACTTTTTTACCTTCAGGGGTAAAATATTTTATCTCCAGCTCGAACAAGCAGGGTTGATTGAGGAGAAACTAATCGGCTCCAGAGAAGGGTGGCCACCAGATACAGGAATCTGAACAACAACCTGGTTGTCAATAACATTGTTGGCAGCGGACTCCAGCACAGGCTCAATTTTCAGATCCAGGACCGAGATCTTACCCTTTGGGGAAGAATGGAGAAATAAAATTTCCACTTGTTGGAAGGCCAAGGCATAGTGGAGTAGGAATCCATTGATGCATTATACTGTGCAATACCCACCACAGTCTTAGATGGAGAAGAATGAATGGTTGAGGTTATTGTGGACTTCAGCATAAACGGTTATAGCCTGGGGAGGGCCAAAAGACAGAATGGATGACAGAGAATGGCGCCTCAAGACTGAGGGGCCTGCCTGCATTAGCTACATAAGAGCTAAGAGGCTAAAAAGCATGGGCCAAAAGCATGAAATGGTGCACTGTAAATGGGCAGAGAAACCAGTTACTTATCAAAACACAGGCCTTGGGTGATGCCAGGCAAGAGAACAAGAGGTTGGCAGCACTTGGTACTTAATTGACTAGCGTTGCCACCTGGTGAGGGGAAGGAAAAGTTGGGAGATGGGTACAGTATTGTGTTTATTTGGGATGCCTTTGAATTTGGTTTGATATTTGTTCATACCAGTTTGATATTTGCTCATAAATAAATACCATTTGTTATAAATAAATACCATTTGGTATAAACAAATGGTAAACTTTGACCTTATTGACACTTTTCCATCGCTGTCTGACCCTTAGCTTCACTGCCTCCTAGGGGGCAGAATTTGGTCGATGCTCCTGATAGACCACGAGTCTGATGCCTGGCAAGACAGTACTGGTGCCAAATACTGTTGTATAGGCTCTGGAAGCCACAACAAAATGAACCACCCCAGATTTGTTTCCCCAAGTCATTCGGGGGAAAATTTATCCGCCAGTCAAATTGTAGCACCTAAAATTTATAACTTATTTTTCCACGAATGATGAAATCTTATAAAATTTCATCCTTTGGTAAGATTAACCTTTACAGATGTATTAATCTAGCCCATCCTCCAATTATGATAGTACTGTACTTATAGCAAACAAAAATGCACTGTTGGGCCCCTCAAAAAATTCAAGTTTTCCATTACTGAATTAGGCCAAATAACATACATACATGAAAAACCAAAGAGCCTAACCCAACCAAGCAATCCTAGGCCTAATATAGTGCAGTACATGTATTCATTATACTAGACCCAGGCATTTAAGTGGCTTTTGGCTTAATTTTTCAATTACATCTTCAAAGTTACTAGTACAAAACATGAACATTGTCGACTGCAACAGTTCATTCGAGTATGATCAACAAAGTATTTAGTTGGATAAGTTGCACTAATCACATGACTTGAATCTATGTTTGCTTAATGACGTTGCCGATATGGTTCCAATAGATCAATCGTGTCTCGGCAGTCATGAGAGGCCACAAAATAATTTGGGGTCAAGACTTCAGCTCCTGGTTCCACACCCCCTCAATAGTACTCATATGGGCCCAGAAGGGTGTATGGTATATTGCACATTTAATTTTGCATTACCTTCTGTACACAAATTCATTATTTTTAAATATATTTCACATTTTTGGTTTGGTTGTGGCTCCCATCACAACAATGGTGACTACTGTAATGCCAGAAGGAATCTTTATTACTGTTCATGCCAAAATGAGCAGTTTTTTTATTTTATTTTATTATATTTTACTCTGTACAGTAGATCCAACAGTGATTTTTTTCAAAACGACATTTTCCATCCATCTTCATGCTATTATGCACGAAGGGCTACATATCTATGGGTCACCCAGTAAGAGAAGCAGACTTCTAGACATTAATACTGCTAGGTTTATGCTCGACCAACAGTACCTCCGGGAATTTACACCACCTGCTTATGTAGACTTTGCCAAATGTGAACAAAGGCAGAACTATTCACTAACCCTACATCACTGTGTAATTTAATAAAAAAAAATTGAATTTAAGGAATTCTTGTGCAAATGTTCAAGTATTTCACTCAAAATATGGTACTACTAGAAATCTTAACCAAATATAAAGTTTGCTTCCTATAGGTAGTGAATGCATACAATTCAAACCCATCCACTTCCACCCATTGGATGGGTGTGGGGGGCATGATCAGTAAATACTGATAATGCTTACTAGCCAGGATCATATAGGGCCCACCCCTCCAAGTTAGCTGGACATCTGGATTAGCAGAAATTCTTACTGGGAGAATCCAAAACTGAACATTCAACAATTTTTGTACCACAATCAACATAATTCCTATTGCCACACAAACAAATTTACATGGATAGGGTAGATTGGCAAGGTCACTTGACTGCCAGCTGCTAATGCTTCTTCTGGTGAGCATAATCCTCTTGATGTCATTCAGTAACGTAGCCAAAACCGCTTATCTTGCCCACATTACCCAAAAGTCTGTTAACGGGGTCTGGATTAGCAAGCTCTTACAATACGTAACTGGCTCACTACAAGTGTAAACTGTTTGACTAAGAGACTTGTCATCAAGTTCTTGAGAGAACTGTACAATAAAACTACAGATGTATATTTTAACATTAGTTTTTGATTGAAAAGATTGAAAAAAAATGAAAATTTAAGAAGTTACCAGATTTTTAAATTCCTTAGCTACCTGCTTGATGGGGTTCTGGAAGTTGTTCTACTCCCCAAGTCTGGCTCTAGGCCAGGCTTGACTTCTGAGTGCTTGGTCCACCAGGCTGTTGCTTTGAGCGGCCCACAGGCCCACATATTCATCACAGCCCGGTAGGTCCGGCACTCCTAGCTTTCTCTATGTCCATGGTTGTTCCGGCAATATTTCTTGTACTCGCTGGGAGGATGTTGAACAATTGTGGACCTCTAATGTTTATACAGTGTTCTCTGATTGTGCTTATGGCACCTCTGCTCTTCACTGGTTCTATTCTGTATTTTCTTCCATATTGTTTACTAAAGTATGATGTTATTTTACTGTGTAGATTTGGGACCTGGCCCTCCAGTACTTTCCACATGTATATTATTTGATCTCTCTCGTCTCCTTTCTAGTGAATACATTTGGAGAGCTTTGAGACGATCCAATAATTTAGGTGCTTTATCGCGTCCATGTATGCTGCATATGTTTTCTGTATTCTATTTCAGCAATCTCTCCTGCTCTGAAGAGCAGAGTGAGTACTGAGCAGTACTCGAGACTAAATGAATAAACTTAAGAGTTCAATTCCTGAGCCCATTGTGTTCCTGTAACTTTTTCCACTATTGCCCATGGAATGGGTATGGGGTGCATAATGAAGGTGAAAAAATAAAGAAGATTGTGTAGGCATCTAAATTACAGTACCATCCCTCATTCTACAGAGAAATTTCAGAAAAGTAATACTGGTACATCCCACCAAACTTAAACCTACATAGAAATGTTATGCTAACCTTACATTAGTAAGCTGGGGTGTTTGCTTACTTGAGCCCAAGTCACTTTAGTCGTGTATGCAAGAGATGTAAATTATAATTCCACTACATTCTCTTTAAACACCCCAGGTCTGGGGTTTTTAACCTAGGTTTTGTGGTCTTTAAACACCCCAGGGCACTAATATAGGGCTAGGAGCCTCACATGCAAATAGTATTGACATACTTTCGCATCACGTTGCCACTCAAAATAATGTTAACTATAAAGTTAACATTACAAATGCTTTCCTGTGCTCACTCTGTCCTAGCAACAGGTGTGCAAAATTACATTAGTCTACTCTGTGATATTACAAAAATACAAGTTTCACAAATAGCTTATCAGCTAATTATGTTTAGTAAAACTGTCTCAAGCAAGGATGTAATCAAGAAGCTAAATTAAAAAAGGGAATTTTACTGCTGCTATTTAGTAATAATTTTGCTCATGTATATTAATGAACATTAGGATATTGAAAACTAAATTAAATTTAACATTTTATTAAAAAATAAGTATTCAATATTTACATTCCCTTAAGTAAGTTTTGGATATAGTTTTGACAAATTAAATTTGTCAAGCTCCAAATTAAATAAAAACATTCCTTTATACATAAAAATATTTTATGTACGGTATTGAAACTTAAAGCATCAAAATGAGTATAGCACAGGAAGGCTTAATAATACTTGTTACATCATCTATTGTTATGTCGAGACTGGTTACGGTTACGTAACTGCCTGCCATTACCGTGGCGACTCCTACCATTATCTCTAGATGCCTGCGAATCTCTATCGTCTTTCAGCTTTCTTCCCTTCCCTTTGAAACCATTTCCAGCCAGTGTAAAATATTGCCAAACGTGAACCCCCAAAGCATGAAGCCTGTCAACAACACTTGTCCAGATCCAGTTATATTTACCACAATATTGTTTGACCCCTGACAGACTGTTCTCTTGGCTTAATATGTGAGTACAGAGAAGACAAAGTGCACACAGAAAAAAGAGAAAGAGGTAAATCAAAATCAAGCGCGTTCTTGCCTGGATGGCTTCAGGGCGGTCATGATGCTCTTGTACGCGCTCCTTAATGGGTTCAAATAGCTTCGATAGCTGTCCTAACTTCTCCTTGTAAACAGAAGCCTCTTGATCAAAACCTTTATCGTATATCCATTCATCGAGCTGGAACAAGACAAAAGGGGAGATGGAACAAATATTTAAAACATTGAGAAAATAGACATAAAATACGAGTGCAATAAACTTAAATTTTGAAAACTATCACTATCATTAGCACTATAGCATTACAGACAAATGAGCACCCATCATACTCCCATCAGACATCCATAATAGTACCAAATTTGTCCATAACACTAAGGATACAGTGCTCACAATTTATCATACATTACAAACACACTTGCTCCCCACCTTACAAATACACACAATACCAGCAACACTAGTTCAAATCTCGGGTAACGCAGTTGATTAAACTGAAAGATTTAAATTTCCATGCGTGTCACCCGGTCTGTCAAAGGAATGCAACCAGTTCACACATATATATACAGTATATTAAATCTTTGACAAACATTTTAGTCAAAACATTAGAAAAATAATTAAAATCAAATGGGTATAATACCCAGAAAGGAATAATAACAGACACCATAAGATTGTCAATCAAGAAAATCCTGTTTAACATATCTACTCAAGTTTCTATGATAGAGCCACAGATTTTACAGGAATATGGTTGGGTTGACAGCATTTATCTGGACCTATAAAAAAGCTTTCGACACATTCCCACAGAGGTTGTTCTGGGAGTGAATTAGAGTGAATTCACTCCAGTTCCCAGGAGTGACAGGAAGACTAATATGGATGAAAAATGTTAAAACAAAAATATGAGGGCAGCAATCAGAGGAAGTGTATCAGACTGGAGAAGTGTTATTAGTAGAGTACCACAGGGGTCAGTTCTTGCACCTGTAATGTTTATCATCTGCATAAACATCTACATAAACAATCACCAGAAGGAATATAGAATTTTATGAACATGTTTGTTGATGCTAATATACTAGAAAAGTTAAGGACCAAGACAATTGTCATGCCCTTCAACAAGACCTGGACCTAAGTGTATGGAGCAACACTTGGCACAGTGTTGATCCACAAATTAAATGTAGTTTAATGTAAATAAATGCCACATTAGGAATGTATTGACCAAAGTAATTACTCAAGTGTAATTGCACACATGTAATTACAACCTTCAAATGTGAAAAGCTTTAAAGAATTCTGATAAAAGAAAGATCTAGGGGTAGTTCTAGATAGAAAACCGTCACCTGAGGACTATATAAAGAACATTGTGCGAGGAGTCTATGCTACGCTTTCCAATGTCTGAATCGCTTTTAAATACTGTATATGGATGGTGAAATATTAAAGAAAATATTCGTGACCTTTATGAGACTAAAGTTGGAACATGCAGCTGTTGTGTGGTGCCCATATCTGCACTAGCACATCAATGAACAGGAAAAGTGCAAAGACATGCAACAAAATGGCTTCTGGAACAGGGGAGGAGAAGAAGAAAAAGAATAAAGAAAAACCAAGAACAAGAAGAACAAGTAGAAGAAGATGGTTATGAGGAGAGGCTAGTGGGATTAAATATAGTATGCCAAAGCTAGAAAACAGAAGAAAATAAGGCAATATGATCAACACTTACAAAACAATAACAGGAGTCGACCAAATTGACAGGATTCCCTGAAACTAGCAACTTGAGAACAAGACAAATTCACAATAAGGAAACAATGGTGCAAAAAAAAAAAAAAAAAATCAGTTTTCTTTTGCAAACTGAGTGGTGAACAGTTGGAACAAGTGAAGCGGGAAGGTGATGGAGGCCAAAGCTGTCAGTAGTTTCAAAGCATCATTTGACAGTATTGAGAAGATGGGACACCACAAGTGTAGCTCTGATCCTATAACTACACTTGAGTAATTACACTTCACCCACTTACAAACAAGAAATCATGCCCCCCTCCCCCCTTTATCAGCTAAATACCTTATCTTGTCCTGAACCACATTTTGCTCGTCATTCACCTGTGTCTGATAATTATCTTCCCAGTTGCAGTATAGGAAATACTAACCCAGAAAACCTTAGTTATTCACCCCAAAATAAGAATACAATGATCAGGCATATTATGATTTTAATTGTTAAACAGCCATCTGTCTTAAAATACAAAATTTCTAAATATTTACTATATTAATTTTTAAAATATATATACATTTTAGTTTTCATAGATTTTTAGCAACCCATTATTACATTAGTAATAATAATAATTATTTATAATAATCATTATGGGATTTAGGTCCTAAGCCTGTGCTGGGACATGTAATCATTCAGCATTTTGGTCACAAAGGTTGTCCCACTTACCATTGAACACATCTGCCGTATTGCCTCGCGCTGTTCATCGGTAGATGCAGCTTCGTATTCTGCTTGCCACAGTTTATCCTGAGCGTCCAAGATATAGCTTTCTAGATTATTGCGTGCAGCCTCCTTTTCATGCCGAGCTTTCTCGGCAGAATTAATGTCCTCTAATCTGCAATGTATCAATTCATTTAAGATCCACCCTAATGGTAAAGCAAATATCTGAAAAGTATTTACAACAAAAAAAATACATTACTATGCCAATTTCTCTTTGATATTTTATTCATCTATAAATTTTTTAAAAAACATTTTTGAGAATGGTGAAGCGTGTAAGATAATCTGCCTCGCAGAGTATGCATTACAAAAGGAGATTTGTCTAAGCAAGATTTGCTGGATAGAGGTTGCATGTTAAGATTTGCTTCAGTCTAGTATATAAATGCTATCCATGTCCAAATGTAAAAGTAAGGGTGAAATCCCAAACTGAAATATTGTTCCAATATCAAAACCATTCTAGATTAAGGTTTCAGTTACTGTATTTTAAAGTTTTGATTTTTTGCAGTTTCACATTTTTATTCATTACATATATGCAAGTGCTAGACTTTAATTTATATGAAATCAAAGTGTTAGAGCCCCAGTAGCACAGTGGGATTCGTTCTTAACCCACAATTGAGAATTCCGACTTTGAATCGCGGGAGGTACAGAAATGATAGGAAATGTGCCCAATCGCCTAATGCGCCTGTCCACATAGTGAATTGGCACCTGGATGTTAGCTTGTTGTGGGGTTACATCCTGGGAAGGGTTTGTAATTTGACACCAGGGGGGTGCGGGGAGGTTTATCTCGATATAACCTTAACATTAACTGTGTGCAAACACTGGCTGCCTGTCCTCTGGCAATGAATTATATATTAGACTAGTATAAATGTTTGTAGATGTATATATGTACAGAGAACATGTATAAATGTTGACATGAAATAACATTCTTACTTTTTCTTCGACTCTCTAAGACGCTCGGGGCTCAAGCTGGGGATGTCTAAATATGTGACTGTAAAGTTCAGTTGCTCCTTTACTGTAACTTGCTTTGGTTTCAGTTCCTTTTCTTTCTTCTTCTCTCCATTTTTCTCCTTATCTTCAGTTTTCTTTTCATTCTTTTTACTTTCTTTTTTCTCTGCCTTTTCATCTTTATCTTTCTTCCCATCTTTCTCTCCTTCCTTTTCCTCGTCACTTTCCTCCGTCTTATTATCTTTTCCATCATCTACTTTCTCACCTTCAGATCCTGATAGTCAAAAGGAGTTGCATTAGTACCCATCTTCTGGATTCATGTTCATCACAACATGCACTCCAAAAATTAACCAAGAATATAATTTGGAAAATAAACCACTATTAAATTTAATTATTCACAGGTTCAGTGCAAAAAAATCTAGGATAATCAAAATGCCACCTTTGACAATTACCCTTCAATTAGGGCATATATGGTACTTTTAGCCTACAATACTGTATAGCTTTAAAGTACGTTTAATTTTTCCATCCATACTCATACTAATGAATGGAAATTCAATTGCCATTCATTTATACAGACTCCCATTAGAAATAAGGCCAAGGCCCCCCCCCCTCCCAAAGCCTTGCAAAACCCTCACCTGAGAAGAGTTTACTAATGGTGCTACCAAGCTTGGATAATGTCGACTCCTCCTCCTCAGGCTTCTCCTCTTCCACCAGAATGCTCTTCTCAAACACTGCCTCCATTGCAGCCAGGGTCAGCACCCCCGAGTCATCCATATTGAAGTGCGCCTACACATAATAATAAGAATTTATAATGAATAACTACAGTATAAAGTACTTGTATAGACATGCATTATTGCCTTACACTTAAATAGTTTTATTAACAAAACCTTCAACATTACAATCGACCGCCAATCTCAGAGGGGTTGTGTTTGGAACAGCTACCTTTTCATTAAAGCAGGTGGTACACATTTGGAAACATATGGGATAGGGCAAATGACTGACAACCTAGACTAGATTTCTGTGTATTGTGCTCAAATATGTTCACATATTTATACCTTACAATGATCACTTTATTGCATCCTAGCACCTTAAATGTTCAGTGCTTCTAATATGTACTTTGTGGCAGGACTGTGAAACCAGTAGAAAATAATAACACTATTTAGGCAGTGAGAGACAGACAGACAGAGACAGACAGAGACAGACAGACAGAGACAGACAAACAGACAGAGACAGACAGACAGAGACAGACAGACAGAGACAGACAGACAGACAGACAGAGACAGACAGACAGACAGACAGAGACAGACAGACAGAGACAGACAGACAGACAGAGACAGACAGACAGAGACAGACAGAGACAGACAGACAGACAGAGAGACAGAGACAGACAGACAGAGACAGACAGACAGAGACAGACAGACAGACAGACAGACAGAGACAGAGACAGAGACAGACATATTCGTTTGCCTTGTTCGGATTGAATGTAGACACAGTAGTCGCTTCTGTATATATTTATTGACCGAGACAACAAGGTATATATCTGGCCAACCGAGGTCCACCTTACTCTGGGTCAGAGAGAACAGAGGCTGCTGGGAGCATGGCTTGATGCTCCTCTGTCTGGCATGACATCAGAGGTCTACTTGCCTGTGATTGGTTACATTTCAACTGACAGAATTTGAGTATAACACCGCTCGGACACGCTACCAAGTCGACGTCCCTTGTCGACAAGCTCTGGCTAGCTATATAGTTACAATGATACTGAAAGGACCTCGGTGGCATTCAATAATGGCTTACATGTGAAATTTGCATAATAAAACATTGAAAGAAGATCAGGTGTGCGTAATACTAACTCGGCATATATGCACCAAAAAAAAAAAAAAAATCATCATAATAGGTGAAAATCATGGTAACAATGCTTTGATTAAACCAGAGTATTAAGAACATGTGGATGTCTACTGATCAGATATGAACAATACAACTCAAGGTATTGCCTAAACAAAATTATTAACATGTGTCAATGGCATGTGCTTGAAAACCATACAATATTAAATAATTATTACATTAATGGAACAAAGTTCTGACCTAACAACCACAATTGAATTTCAAGATAGATAATGATTTTCTTTTTTTCTTTTTTTCTTTTCTCTGAAATATACAATATATTTACAAGACCAATGTACAATATATTTAATGTGCCATATATTTACAAGCTATATACAAGACCTAGAACAAGAAGACTAACATCTGCTGTTGTTGTCTGTGAGGAAAGACCAGCGGCGGCGGACTTCACTATTAACCTGACCGTCATATTACCTGCTCAACATGGGCGACGACTGGGCGAAGGCAGCCGAGGAACAGGAGGCAAAAGATCTGGTTGCTAAAGTTGAGAGCCTGAATCTTCCCAAAGTTGAAGATGAAAGGATTAAGGAAAAAGTGCCCTCAAATGATGCAGAGGAAAATATTTCTCCAGCTGAGCTGTCACTCATGAGGAAGGTGATGAGAAAAGGGATTAAAGAAACTAAGAACAATGTTGAGGTCTTGCGCAAGGATCCTAAAAATCCCCTCTATTGTGTCAAGACTTTTGAAGAGCTTAACTTACGGAAGGAGCTCTTAGAGGGGATATATGAAATGGGATTTAAGCTTCCCTCAAAGATTCAAGAAGTCTCGCTTCCAACTCTTCTAGCTGAACCGCCAGTCAACATGATAGCTCAGTCCCAGTCAGGCACAGGCAAGACAGCAGCATTTGCCCTGGCCATGTTGAGCCGCATTGACACCTCCAGAAAATGTTGCCAGGCTCTGTGCTTGTCACCAACTATGGAGCTGGCATTGCAAACACTGGACTGTATCAAGCAGATGGGTAATAAATGCAAGGACATCACCATTCGCTCTGCTGTTAAAGGAGAATCAGTTTCCCGTGGGCAAAAAATCACTGAACATATTGTAATTGGCACCCCAGGGAAGGTAGTTGACTGGGTCACCAAATACAAATGTCTTGAGCTACGTAATTGCAAGGTTTTTGTACTTGATGAAGCTGATGTGATGATTGCTACTCAGGGTCATCAGGATCAGTCTGTCCGTATACATAAGCAACTTCCACAAAATTGTCAGATGATGTTTTCGGCCACGTATGTTGAGGTTGTCACTTTTGCTGAAGCCATTATTAAGGATCCAGTGACACTCCGGTTAAAGAGGGAAGAAGAAACGCTGACAAATATTAGACAGATGTATGTCGAGTGTCATAATCAGGATGAAAAATATGAGGCTATTGCCAACATCTACACAATCCCGGTGGGCAGTGCAATGTTTTTCTGCCATACCAAGCAGAATGCTAATTGGTTAGCAACACGTCTTAAGGAAGATGGTCACCAAGTAGCGCTACTCACTGGTGACCTAACACCTGACGAGCGAGTCCGAGTGTTACTTCGCTTCCGCGAGGGAACTGAAAGGGTGCTCATATGTACCAACGTTCTGGCCCGAGGGATTGACGTTGACACAGTTAACTTAGTGGTCAACTATGATCTTCCTCGATTGTATGGGTCGAAGAGGGCAGACTGCGAGACGTATTTGCATCGAATTGGCCGTACTGGTCGCTTTGGCAAGACAGGCAATGCAATTAATATTGTAGATGGTGAGGAT